AAGGCACAACAGGCTGTATCTTAACAGAACACACATCCAGAGGGGGGTTAGGGGTGTCTTACTCCCACAGTATTTGTTTCCAGAGGGTAAGTAATCTGTGTACCAAGTTTGGTTGAAATTGCTCGAGGCATTCTAGAGATATGCTGGAACACACACACACACACACACACACTCCCAAGCAGATGCCCCTAACAAATGTTAAGAATATCATTATAAAGGCTAATGGGAATGTTGCAAATTTATAAATGTAAGCTGTCAGTATCTTAAGTATCAAGTGAAGAGTAACCTAACCTCCTTCAATAGCAATTAACAACAAAGATAAAAAGGGAATGTAATATAATTGAGTTAATTCTAAATAATTGGAGTAAATAGCAATAATAGTACCAAAACAATACAAACCACCTACATAAAGAATGCAGAGTTAAGGCTCATTAGGATGGAAAAAAAAAACACCCTCCCCAATCCTTTACACCCATCATGTGCATTTGGATCGAGGGGTTTGGCCTAGAGGTTAAGACACCAGGTTAGAAACCAGGTGCCTGTGAGTTCTAGTCCCATCTTAGGCCCCAAAGTGGGCTGGGTGAGTTTGGACCAATCGCTATCTCTCAGTTCATGACATCAGACTCAAGTGACAAAGCTGGTTAGTCAACTTCTATTGCAAGAAATAGACCAAGCTTGGTTGATCTGAAAATAAAAAATTGAGGATCCTGAATTTGCAAGCAAAATGCTAGGATGAGACAAAAAAAAATGCCCATTTGGATCAAGATGATGATTTGAAAGCGTAACACAAAACCGACACCGGAAACGAAGGATATATTCTCACCGCGTCATGTGCTTCTGCGACAGAGCAATGGCGTACTCGGCCACGACAGTCTTTCCCGCAGAGGTGTGGGCGGCGACAAAAACTGAATCATGCTTCTCCAAGTGGAGAATTGCCTGTTTCTGGAAAACGTCAGGCTCAAAAGGCCACTGGGGAGGGAAGAGAGGAAATTTAGTTGATTGACACACAGCTCTCCTTTCCCAGCAGCCCTACAGAATTGGTGCCAAAGCCGATTCAGATTCTATCCCTGCTTGCTCTTTCCCTCGCAGATAGACAACCGAAATGGAAGGGAGGGGGGGACGGACCAGTGGTGGGTTTCAATTTTTTTTTGAACCTACTCTGTGGATGTGGCCTCCTTTGTGGGAGCGGCTGGCTGGCCATGTGACCTGGTGGGAGTGGCTTGCCGGCCATGTGTTTTCTTTCTCTCTCTCCCTCCCCCCCCCTCTCTCTCTCCTTCTTTTTGTCTCTCTGTTCCTTTTTCCTTTCATCTCTCTCTCACTTTTTCTTTCTTTTTTTTCCTTTCTTCCTTTCTTTCTCTTTCTCTTTCTCTGTGTGAGTCAGTCAGTCAGTCNCCCCCCCCCCCAATCAGTGGGGGAAGTGGATCCTGGGCACTGCGCTGCCATGAAGAAACGCGGGATGAGGGAAGGAGGGAAGTGGCCTTCTCCTTCCCTTGTGCCAGCTGCTCCATTGCCCATTTCTCTATTGCAGCGCACCGCAGTGCCCAAGATCCACTTTAATAGCGGGGCATTGATCATTTAAAAACCGGTTCCCTTGAATGGGTGCAAACAGGCTGAACCCCAACGCTGGCTGTGGTCCAATAAGAAGAATGATGGGACAATGCAAAGTCCAGGTCAAGGAGCACTTAAGACATTGTCCTTCCATAAATAAAGGACATATCAAAGGAATTGGCCTTTGACCCCATACATTCTTTTTCACTTTTATGACAGAGCAATGGACCCAAGTATTTCTCCTTTTATATAGGTAGTCCTCGACTTAACGACCATAATTGAGCCCAAAACTTCTGTGGTTGAGCGAAAGACTTGTTGAGGGAGCTTGGCTCCGTTTGATGATCTTTCTTGCCGCCATTAATCACTGGGAATCACTGCAGTTGCTAAGTGAATCTGGATTCCCCCATTGACTTTGCTTGTCGGAGGGTCGCAAAAGGGGACCACGTGACCTTGAGACACAGCAACTGTCATAAACATGAACCACTTGCCAAGCATCTGAATTTTGATTACACGATCAGGGGGGAATGCTGCAAAGGTCGTAAGTGTGAAAAAGGGTCATGTCACTTTTTTTCAGGGCTGTTGTAACTTTGAACGGTCACTAAATGAACTGTTGTAAGTCGAGGACTACTTGTTGGGAGAAACGGAAAGAGGGCCTCTGAAGAAGCCAAGGAATTTCCACCAACCCACCGTATTTTTCGGAGAAGACGACGCAACTTTTTCCCCCCAAAAAGAGGGTGAAAATCTGGGTGCGTCTTATACACTGAACACAGCATTTTTGGCATACTCCTGAAACCCCGCCCCCTTCACCAAAATGGACGTGCATTGCCTTTAGGAGGCTTCCAGAGTGCTCCTGGGGGCTGGGGAGGGCAAAAACGAGTGAAAAATGGGCTGTCTTTTGCTCGTTTTTGCCCCCCCTCTGATCACCAGGAGCACTTTTCAAGCCTCTTAAAAGCTATGCATGCCCTTTTTTTTGGTAAAAAATGCGGCTGTTTTTTGCTCGTTTTTGCCCAGCCCCCAGGAGCACTTTGCACTTTTCACAAAAAAATGAGGCGTGCAGAGGGTTTGGGAGTCCTTCAGATGGCAAAACCTTTTTTAAAAAAAATTAAATCTTGGTGCGTCTTATACTCCGAAAAATACGGTAAATGCCTCAGAACTGCTCAGGTCCTGATTTCCTCCATTGTTTTAATCCTTGTCCGTCCGTCCCCCCCGCCACTTACCTCAGAATCATTAATGTAATGCACTTCATCAAAGATCACCCACTCTAGGTCTCTGAGGACATCGGAGCCATTATAGAGCATAGACCTTTGCAAACAGAACAAAAGAAAATGGCATTTCTAAGACAGCAGTATCGTTCTCAAAAACAACTAAAAAGATTTGGGTTGCCAGATTGGCCCTGCTTAATTATTAAAGTATGAAGGAATTTCGGTTTGAGAAAAGAGTCTGAATCAGAAAAAGTCAGTTTTGGCTGATATGTGTCCTGCCTTCAAAAGAAAACAGAACTGGCAAATAAAGCTGCATATAGTCTGCAGAGATTCTCAGTCATCCATTCCTTGTTTTTCCTTTTGCAGATGTTTCGCTTCTCATCCAAGAAGCTTCTTCAGCTCTGACAGGATAGAGGGGTGTTGTGGCCCAGCAGGAGCCTGCTATGGAAGATGTGGAGGACCCTAGGTAGGGTTCAGACTCAGAGCAGGGACTAGAGAGGCTGGTTGGCCACCAGAAGGTGCCTGAGGCATGGAGCAGTGGGGAGGATCAAAGGGAGTTTGTCACTGATGCCAGACAGAGAAGGGCGGAGAAACGGAGGCAGCAGTTACGGAGACAGACTCATAAGAGATAATCAAGCCTAGGTGGTTGTGGCTTGGCCCCTCCCAAGAGAGTATATAAGAGGAGATTTTGGGAGGAGTCCTTTTGCAGGACACAACTGTTCATACTAATCTGGAGAACTCCTTGTCTGGTCTGCCTTGTGTTTCCGTGTCTGTTGGAGTCTGGGTTGCTGCCAACGTCTTGCCTGTGAGTTGTGTTTGGGCTTTCAGCCAACAGGATTGTAATTGCTGTAAATAAAGAGTGGCAAACTACTAAGCCTGTGTCGGTGTTAATCACCGGACGGAGGGGGGTCAGAACAGTGGGGAATGGAAGGTTTTATATTCCTTGCAGTCAGCTGGTCCTTTGCATTCCTGGACCTGGATGATTGAGAATCTCCATAGACTTTTAGCTGTGCACTTTGGGATGAACACCCTTTGAATGGCGTGGGAGTTTGAATTTTTCAGAAAAATTGCAGATCACAGGAACCATTTGCACTACTCAGGTGACTCTGAGGACACAGCTAAACCTCCAAATGTCTCAATGACCCTCTAAAACACTGGTTCCCAACGTAGCACCCATGCCCCACAGGGGGGGGGGGATTTGATTTTTAATGGGGGCTTCTTCCGTGTGAGTAGAGTTCACTTTTTGAGTAAAGTAAAAATTATATGTCACTGGGGGCGGAGGGGGGGGGAATCAAGATTTTAGAGATGCTTAGATGGGGCATGGCCAAAAAAAAAGGTTGGGAATCCCTGCTCTAAAAGAATGCAAACGACCAGCTGTCTGCAAGGAATACAAATCCTTCCATTGCCCACCATCTAGTCAGAGCTGAAGAAGCTTCTTGGATGAGAAGCGAAACGTCTTCAAAAGAAAAAACAAGAACGTCCAGTTGCCTCCTGAAAATAAAAAAGCACCTTTGGGACAACTGTGACCTGGATGACTGAGAATCTCCACTAGACATCCATGCCTCATCGTACCTTCCAGTCATCCTGCCCGCCCCCTTGCATTGAGAGACAGCCTTCTCTCTTTGGCCTAGCCCTCACCTGAGGATCTCGGTTGTCATGATGAGGCAGGAGGCGTCCGGATGCAGCTGCACATCTCCTGTCAGCAAGCCAACATCCCCAAAGGTGTTCTTGAAATCCCGAAACTTCTGGTTAGAAAGCGCTTTGATTGGGGATGTGTAGATGGTGCTGCAAAAGGAGGCAGAGCGGGAGAAAAGCGAGACATTTGGAAGATCCAAATGTTGGTGTTTTTTTGTTGAGAACCAGAGGTGGTATTCAGCTGGTTCGGACCAGTTCGCCCGAATACTCACATTTGCAAACCGGTAGAGAAAGTAAGTGAATACTACTCCTAATGAGGACATTGTTTCTCAACCTTGGCAACTTGAATACAAGGGGACTTCAACTCCCAGAATTCTAGGAGTTGAACTCCACACACATCTTCAAAGTTGAGATTAGGAACATTTATAATATACGCGACGAGGAAGAGAATCTTCTGATAGTTCTCGGCTTATGACCATATTTGAGTCAGGAATTATGGTTACCATCTAACCACAGCCGATTTCATGACCCTTTTTTGTGGAAGTTGTTAAGCAAATCTCATAGTCGTTAAACAAACCTGTTTTCACCAACGGGCGCTTTTGGCCCCAAATTGGAAATAAATGCTGGAAACTGGCAAAAAACCATTAAAAATGGTGGCCGCCTGACTGTGGGTCGCTGAAAAGAACTGTAAATGTGAGCTGATTGACACGTGCTTCAAATTTGATCACGTGACAATGGGGGGGAGGGTTCCAAGAGTTGGAACTTTGGTATCTGGTCGTAAATAGTGCTGGGGGTGGTCCATTATAACGCTGAACAGTTGCTAAGCAACTGGTTGTTAAATAAGGATTACCTGTCCTTCTATTCATAAACGGGCTGACATGAAGGGCTTCCTGACTGATCCCACTCAAATGTTAATTGCGAAGAAGGAAAATCTGTGATAATCCAGATGTCACTGGGCTAAATCTCCTGTCCTCCTTGGCCACTGGCCACGCCAGCTGGGTTAGCAAAGGTTTCACAACTCCTGAATAGCACAAGGTCCTTATCTTTATATTAGACTAGCTAATAGCCCGGGGCTGCCTGGATATTTATTTATCCCAACCCTCCTTCCATGAACATTGCCGCAATTTCTAATGTTGCATTTTCCCCCTTACCAGAGGGAGCCCCCCCCCCCTTACGGAGTACTGTGAAGCCGTTACCATGGCAACTCCACAGCGCTGTATAGTAGAAGCCATTTTAAGGCCATACGGTAGAAGCCATTTTAAGGCC